CAATCTCTGTCTGAAATGCTCTTTTTCCCTGAAATCATTCATAAGACTTGGCAGGATGTTGAGAAGGAGATTTATATTCATTTGAGAAGAACTCTTGGTGGAATTTGAGAAAATGCCTGCAGAAGGAGGGAATTTGCTTGCTAAAGATTGGGAGGGGGATGTCAAAACTATAGCTAAATATAGACTTCTGTGCAGACTTCAGTGGCTTTTCTACCTTTTAGGAACAGGTGATTCCACTGAGAGTGCAGTAGGAGGATGCTGATTTAAAATAGAATAATTTTATCTATTCTGCTTTACAGGCTTAGGAACTGGATGATTTCTTTCATTTATTACCTCTCCATAGCCTGGCACAGCAGTGGCAGCGCAGCTTGTTGGTGAGCGCTCTGTGCAGTAGGTAGGGAGATTTCTTTTCATGAATGATGCAGCACCAGCTGCTGCTTGTGAGAACAAGCACTTCACCAGAGGATGAATGTAAACATCACATAAATCAGCACTGATTTCACCTGTCATCTCAAACAACTGCTAAGATGATGCTTATTTCGTAAGGTACCGTTATATGCCTTAAATCTACCAGAAATAATAGTCCGATGCAAAGGTCATTGGTGCTAATAGGATGCAGTATAACTTTATTTTGTTGGAAATCATACCTGTTTCCCTATTTCTTGATCTGGACTTCATTATTCTCATTGTGGGTCTAGAGGAATCTTGGGCAAATAATAGAAGTGCAGCTATTATTTCTATGAATAGAATTCTTGTAATTTTGTGATCTTATTACAAAGCCTCTAGTGTTGCAAGTAAGCTGGACAGATTTTTAAAGTTAGTTAACACCTTAGATTTGTGATATTCCTTTCCCAGTAGTTTTCAGTCTCTTTTTCCAGCTTTATTCATAAGTAATTTTGTTAAGTTAAAGTACTAACCTTCTTACACAGCAGTTGTCTTCAGACATGCATGATCTGTGTATCTGTGGGTAATGGAATGAGGGACAGAGTGGCAAAGTTGTCTGAGGGATTTTTTGGTAACTAAGTGGTAATATTTGAAATTTTAAGATGCTAGATGAGTTGCAAGACAAGTGAAGATGTATTCCTTGGGAAAGCAGATAACAACAGCCGAGATATATGATTAGTGCAATTCTTAATAAAGACATCATTTCAGTATATTTATTATGTCATTCATTTGAAAGTTAGTGACTGTATAAAGAAAAAATGAAATGAAATAGCATTTAATACAAGTTCCTGTTCTTTATTGAGGACGATTATATGGCATTTTCACAATGAGGTAAATGACATTCCTTGTTTTTTTTGGGAAGTTTTGCAGTAGATAATTAAGAAATAAAGTTACACTCTCCATTTTCATTGCTCAGATATGATGAAAGTAGTTTTTTTTTTTCTTTTTCCTTTTTTTCTTTTTTCTGTGTCCTTTGCTATGAAATCAAGCTAAAACAAAAGTCTGTGTCTTTGAAGTAGTTTTTAGCAAAGTACAGCACTGGCTGTAAGCTTCCTTGGAATTAACGGATACCAAAGCAAAATATTGATCCAAAACTTCAAACAGGTTGTGGAAACCGATGATGCCATTTGAACTACATGGAGATATACAAATATATATATATATATATAAAGAACTTATTTGTCATAGCATGTCCTTTGCTTACAGATTATCATCATGTAGACTAAACAAAACTAGAGAATATTTTAGGTATACCATTTTTGATTGTTTGAAATAACTATAATTTAGACACAAGCAGGTACCTACATTTCATTAGAAAATATTTGAATTAATGATTTGACCAAAGCTCATAACTTTATGACACATTATCTTAGCTATGCTACCTTCTCTAGCTTCTTTCTGATTGGAGAATGGACCAATGCTGTAAAATCAGATTGACAATTCTGCGACTGAAACTGAGACATGGCATGTAAACATTTTCCTACAGCAAAGTGTCTTTGTCTGTCAGACTGTAAAACCCCACAGGAGCACTAGAATAGAATAAGGAACCCTTAAATCCAGAAGTCTTTCCAAGAAGAAAACAACAACATCTGAAAACCAAACCATCACATCTAGCTGTCCACACTTATGCTTAGAATGGCACCAAAAGAGTAAATCGTCCCCCAAGATAGAGTGGGAAAAACTATGATTTTTGTGGTTTCACCTTCAATTTTTATTGCGCTTTACAAAAAGAATAAAGACAAAAGAAGGAAAGAAACTGCTTTCACAACAAAAATATCAGCTTGTCTATGCAAAATTTATCAAGAAATGTGAACACTACCTCTTTATTTCCACCAGAAAAGTTGTTATGGTAAATACTGGTAATTTATATTGCAGAAAACCTGCAAGTACTCATTTAGGGATTTGTAAAAAGTCTCTAGAACGCAAACAAGTCTTTATTTATCAGTATATTTATTTTTCAGTGGTTTCCTTGTGCACCTGTCCGACTATATCTCCTGCTTGTCTCTAAAACATAGATTATAAAATGCTTTGCTCATAATGGCATGACTTTCCATTGCTAGCTCTCTTACACATAACACAATACCAGATAATTATAGCAATAATATTTATAGTTATTAGAAGAACAGATTATTAGAGATTGGGTGTTTTCCAGCTTTCTCATATTTATGGGAAAGAATAACAATCCTTTTGCATTTTTAACTTACATGTTTTTAGACTTACTTCTTACTGTAAGTTTACTAGTCTTCTGATTTAAACCTGTAAAAGCACAAAATAAGTCAGACCTTATAGGACCTTTCTGATGCATGTGAATGTTATATGTATGAGTTCTCTTAATTACTTATATGAATTGAAATCTCAGTATAGTTACCTGTGGAAATCATTACTATTATTGCTGTTTGTGAAGTCGAATCAGTGTAGGATAGGAACAAAATTTGAGAGATGATAATTTTGCCACCCATTCCTGAAAAAGAGGGCAGTACTACTGGAAGACACTAAAGCTTAATCTACCTGTAAGAAACCTTATGTTTAGATAGCTCATATAAAGAGGAATTTACTGAAGTTGATCAGGGTTTAATCCTGATTTTTTAAAATGTGGTATGTATTACTAGATAGTAGTATAATCTTTACTTTCAACTAAAAATTTAATGTATTATGAAATACATATGTCTTCAAGATAGAAAAATGCTAGCAGTCCTTGGATTACTGCCTGAGGAGGCGGATACAGTAAGCATAGTCAAGCTGCTCAAAAGAAGCAGCCATCCAAAATATGACATTGTCAGTCATCTTAAAAAAGATATGTTTAGAAATTTCTTAAATGAACACTGCCTCACAAGTGAAGGGGCAGAACAGAAGGGAAATAATCTCCATTCCTCAAGATATTCCAATTTCACATTTTTTGCTATTGTTATTGCCCAAATGAGAATGAAAAGATGAGTTTGTCTGTGAATATGTATATATATATGCATATCATACAGATTATATATGTGTGTTTATATATATATATTCAGCTTTCAACAGCACTAATGCCTTGCAAGGTGCAGGTTCAAGACAAAATATAGACAAAGTATAGAGCTCTATACCAGCTGATTAAAAATGAAATACTTCATATTCCTACTTTTCTCCAGCCTGGGAAACTAAAAAATGAATAAATAAGGGAACAGCCTAAAAGAGAGCATTCTGTCTTCATTTACTAATGAGAAATAAAATTGCAGCAAAATTGAATTTCTTACCCCTAAAGCCCCCAAACTTTCTTTGTAGAAACTTTATTTTCCAAATGAAAACAAAATAATTCTGATTGATAGAAAATTCTCAGAATTGTCTAGAATAGAGAAGACTTCTGTTGGTATTTTATGTTGATTGTTACAGAACATTCCAGAAAACCATAATCCAAGTAGAAGTTCACGGAATTCTAAATCAAATAAATAAATAAGCCAATAAATAAAAAGTCTATACAAACCCATGGAAGAGAAACATAAAACACACACATAAACCCATACGAATATAATCCTACAATGTGTTCCTACAAGAAAACAGAAGATACTAGAGAGCATCCACTTTTTCTTCAAAGCCTCCCTCACTGGAAATGGTTGAAGATAAGTTCTGGCCCAGACAACTCGAACTATAGGTATAGTTGTTTCCTCAGCTGTTCTGAACATGACTTCTTGTTACTCCTGTCTGCAACTGCATGGCTTTCAGGAAATGAGCAGACACAAAGGAGAAGCAATGCACCTCCATATACACCCCAAGAAAATAAACCACTAGGTTTGTCTGTGAATGGAATAGCAGTATAACATACATATGGGCTGTGTTTTGATTGCAGTGCAGCTTTTAATATAGCAAAGGATAACATTGTCCTGATTTGCTTTAGTGGCAACGCAACGTGTATGTGACGTGTTGAATCTCAGCTGTCTTGGTGCTATTAGATAATAAGCTTTCTCTCTTTTGGTGACTTTTAGTTGTGTTGGAGAACTTGATGCACATAGCAGCAGCTCTACAAGCTCAGATGAAATGTCTACCTAGATCAGCATACTGTTTCTGACAGTGGCCAAAAGGAGATTTAGGGCAGAGTTTGTGAACAGAAAAAGCAAAGAGTGATACATCTCTGCACCATCCTCACACCTCCAAAAGTTCATCCCTCAGACAGAGGAAACGTTTTAGTATTTGATCTGCCTAGACAGAGTTATCTGCCATTAGTTTTCTTATTTTTAACCTGAATTTTGGCATGAAACAAAACATTCCACATTTTAACCACACTGTGCAAAGAACAAATTTTTAAAAAGACTGCCAGCTTCTAGCTTAATTTGATATCTCCCTTCTCTTGTAAAGGAAGAGGCAATGAATAGGCATCATCTATCCATCCTTTCTCCCAATGAAAACCTCGGATATCATAGCAGATCAATACACAACAGGAAAATAGCAGTATGCAGCTCACTTAACCTTGTACAAAGCGGGTGGCATTGCATCGGAGACATGGAGGTTACAAATGAGCAGATACCCTGCTCTTGGCAAATTATCAGTTTGACTTAACACAAAAATAGGAGTGTTTCTCCTGGTACCTGTCGCTGGTTTTCTGTCTCCAGCCTCAGTCTGGCTTCTACACATCTTCTTGTCTCCAGGAAGGCTTGACGTTGTGCGCGGTCTGATAGGTAGCTAATGAAGATTCCTGCGGTGTTCATACACATAAATAACACGGCCTGAGCTGCTATCTGCAAAGAACAACAAACAGGATTTGATCAGACAATGGAGGCCATTATATCTGCTTGAAAAATAAGATGTGAGAGAAGGAATGAGTGCTCTGCAGCCGTGCGGTCTGTGAAACTAAGCAGTTAAGAAAGTTTTTTAAAAGGGAATCTCTTGGATCTTAATTAAAGGCATAAAACACATAAAATTCTCTCTGTCTTGAGGAAGAAATATGTAGTATTTGGGGGCATTAAACTCTAGCTGAACCACAAATAATGTTTCCAAGAACTGACTCACAAGGCTCTAGTCAAGAATGATTACAAACTTAATTAACAATTTGTTTTCGCCTCTTCTGTAAAATGCAACTTTGTGATCCGTTTTGCAACTTAGTTTGAGAACAAAGCCATATTAAGGAAAACAAAGAGTGTCAATTAGCTAAAAATTAATATCAGTGATAATAGTTATTCTGTTGTTATTGACCAAATTAAATAAATTCGTTTTCAGCCAATGCCAAAACACCAACTCCCATAATCTGAATCCTGAACTGTTCAGAGGAGGAGCTGAAAGGTTATATTTGTGCAAACAGACCTCTCTCTTCACTGATGCCTGAGTAAGAGCTGGAAGATGCAGTCTCTTTTACTTGTAGAAGATACATCGCAGTTTTTCCTTTTGACATATAAACTTAAAAGAGCTAAAGACATAGGGATCCTTGGTCTGGGTAGATGCCAGCGGATTATTTGTCTTTGATAAATACCTGTTTGTGCTTTGTTTGCGTGTGAGGTAGAGCACACAAACACTACTGAAGTGAGGATTGTTTGGAAAACAAAGTGGGAAATGTGCAATGTTTGAGTGAATCCTCAGCAGAGCATGGATCTGCAGTCTCAGCCCCTTCATCCAGCCCCCCAAATTTCTGATAGTGATTATGAGTTCAGATGAGCTCCTCTCAGTTCTAGCATCAGCCATTGTTTTGGGAAGGGGAAGAGTGGAAATTAAGTAAGTCCCAAAGTCCTTAAATTCCTCAAATGCAACATTCTTGGCCATGTTAGGAAAGTCCAGGTCTCCCTCACTTCAGATCCTATCTCTGGCAGTGGCTAACAAGAATGACTAGGTCAAAGTACAAGTTCTACACTAGGCAGAAGTACAAGAATAAAGGACAGTTTCAGTGATATTTTGTCAGAAGAGTTTTGTAGACTCCAGTAACTTGAGGGTGAGAGACATCAAGGGTAATATTTTTTGTAATGATATTTGATAAACAATCTCCCCAATATGAAAGTTTTGCTTATTCTAGTAGAAGAGAGGAAACATTTAGTGGAACTCGTGAATCATATTGAGATGTTGTACCTGAGATCTGCAGGTCTCTCTTTTCCCATTCTTGGTTGTTTACAAAAATGAAATCTGATACCAAACCAAAGGCATTTGGAAGAATCTTCAGCTTTAACTGTTCCTGTATTTCTGACTTTGGAGCATGGCCTCACAATGGCAGGGGGATTTCAGGAACAGTTTGTAAGCCATGATTAAATAAGAATGTACATCCTAACTCTAATGAAAGATCTATCTAACTTATGCTAATAAGAGACACTTAGGCAAAACCTGTGAGAAGTAGGGCATGATTACAACAGTCTTAGTTTAGTACATCTTCCTAGCTTCCAGGATCCTGTGGTTTATAACACCTCTGATCTGGAATTGGTATATTCTGTCCATCTGTTTAACAACCCCTAGTAGATCTACTATATGCATTCTTTTTGCTAATATCTTTTTGAAGTTAATTACACATTTGGCCCTATTTCATTCAATGACAAAGATTTCTATAATTTCACTAGGTACTTTGTGATAATAATGTTTCCTTTTCTTTGCTTTAAATCACTGCCTTGTCAGGCAGTGTCACTTGTTCGAGTGCCCCCTAATGCTTATAATAAGAGAACGGGTGACTAATCATTCCCCATTCATCTTCCTCTTAGCAGTCATCATGTTATTGATTTATAGAATATCCTCCCTTAGCCTTTTATTTGTGAAGTGGAAGAATTGTGAATTATTTAGTCTCACTCTGTTTAGACATCACTCCATCTCTCTGTTGATTGTTTCTTCCCTTCTTGCCTTCTTCCCCTCTATCTTGCTCTGTTCTGCTGGAAACTGAGCACCCCAGACAAGCCTCCTTTCATGTTTGTTCCACAGTAAAATAGAGAATGCAGTTGCATACTCCATGACATAACAGGCTACCAATAGACATATGATGAGCTAACACAAGAAAAAAAACAGTTCAAAATTATGTGGTGCAGTAGGACAGCTGAAATCAGCAGTGGATGGATGGAGAAATCAACATTAACCCAGAAGCAGTAGCACGGTACTCTTGTCTGCTTGCAAATTCCTGAAGTTCCAATTTATGCCCTTCTCTGCTTTGAACTGGTGCCACTCACTTCAGAAAATCTCCTTAAAGCAATGCAGTAGAATTTGGCCTTATATTAGATTTCATGAGTGCATAATTTGGTTTAGATAAAGGTAATTATGGAAAGTTTGCTACAGGTAAAATAACAGTTTACTCAACTGAAGGTACAATCTGCTTTCCTTTAACATAGTCAGCTTTAAGCCAATTGAAAGAGTTAAGTGCTGTGCCTGGCACAGGTGTTAATTGGTGGTTCTTTTTAATTGAACAAACAAACCAAAAAGACACAGAAGACTTGAGTCCCTTGTTTGCCCCTCCTTTTTCCTACAGCTTACTGTGTCCAATTCCAGATATCTTGATGGATTTTGTACTCCATATCAGGGACATGAGCCAAGACAGACTGTGTTTTCATAAGCTGTGCACAGTTTCATATCTTTCTCACTGACCTGAAGATAGAACAGCTGAGGTATAGGGCGAAAAAAATAGAATATCTTTTCACAGCATTTATGAGCCCTTTAGTCTATTTGGATCTTGCACAGCACTGAACTAGACAGTTGTAGCAGTGACAGCAAGTGATCTTGAAAAACTATGAATGATATATTTTGCTGTCAAAGAGGGCTCCAAGGAGGTCTGCTCCTTGGATTTTGTAAAAATGCAAAAACAAGGCAGCCATCATCACACTGCTGATGGGTGCTACAGGGCCAGCACCATCTCTCCTGAACCTAGTTATAAATATCTGTTAAAAATGTTACCCTAAATTTCTGCTTCTCCCGTGTTTCTCATAGGAGGGGATTACAAGCTTAGTTTACAGAGAAATCACTTGTCAAATCAAATTTACATTTATAAAGTGTCTTGGTGAAAGCACTTTGCAAAGGCAACACAAAAAACAAAGGAAGGCAATACAAGGAGAGGAAGCAGGTCAGACAAGAAAGATAATTTAATATTCAAAAGTACACACAGATTCAAATCTTTCTTTTCGTCTCCTTTTTTGTCTGTCATATACTCTATCAAAAGCACTTTGCCAAGGCAGTTAAAAAACAAGGTAACATTTTGAGTAGATTTGGGAATCTCTAGATCTCAGACAAAAATAGAAAATAAAAAGCACTGGACCCAGCTGGCAAGAAAGAAGTATTAATCAAAGCAGGCACTGTATGGCAGAGTAAGAGAACAGGGAAAGGAGAATTGATCAGAAAGCTAGTGAAGTATCTCAAAAAGTATATTACTAAGTGGCAGGTGAATCACAGCCACAGAGAGATGATCAAGACACAATTGAATGTATTTCAGGAGACAGGAAATTCAGTAGGATAACGGTGACAGAGTTTGAGTTCTTGAGAGCAGAACTGGACTATACCTAACAACAATAATTTGTAGGCATTTCTTCAATAAAAAGCACTAAATTTCACTTGACTTGATTGGGAGTTTATGCAGAGTCCTGTGAGTTTATGAAAAGCTGAAAGTGAGTTGGACACCCATTTGCAAAAAGTTTTGAAACTTCAAAAATTTTAACTAAAAATGCACTTTCATTCTGTTACATTTCTTCTTTGAAAAGATGCAGTTGCCCAAACAGAGAATAAAACCCCTAAGGACAACTGTACAGTCCTCCATTTCAGAGATTTCTGAGACTTTCCAGTCATAGAAGTGTACAGTGGTTGCTTGATTTCCTCCATAATCCAAGGAATAGCATTAATGGACACACAGAAATATTCCATAGATCCAACAGAGGGGAGAGGTGGTTGTCAAGTGTTCGCTAAATCTCAAAGAGACTGATTGCCACAAACTATCTTCATTAAGAGTAGTTCAACCAGTTGTAGCATATATTCATTTGGAAACCACAGTAGAGAAGGAAGAGATAAAGTTTAGGAGCTTCTGTATTACTATCACCCTCCCCAAAAACAAACAAACAAACAATCGAACAAACAAACCCCGAAACTAAAAGAAATCTGAAAAATAAAGAAATCATTTCCAGCATAATTTCCAGTCAGAATTTCTCAAGGCAGATCAATACTAACACACAGAAATTTCATTAATTCCTGAATGGAGCCCTTGGGAAATTGTTTAATTCTTTTCCTATTTTGCTTTCTAATTTGGGGTAGGTTTCAACAACGGATTAAAGTAGCTTTTGGCTGTTTTGAAGAAGCGGAGACGGAAAGCTGTTGTGCTTCTTTAAGAGTGTTTTCAGTACGTGCCACATAAAGAAATGGTTGCTATGGTAATTATTATTGGTTAATTAGGTTTGGAGAAGCATTTTGATTCATCATTAGTTGTTTAACTAAAAATAGCAGCTTGCCACAGGTTGTTTTCTGTAATTAAAATGCCTCAGAAACCTCTGTACCCTCTCTCCTTTCACTATCTCCATAGTTAAGTTATTCTGAGGGAAACTATCTTATGCTCTTATCAAAAGACTATAAGAACTGATCAGCAGGCATGATGTGCAGATTGACTGAGAAGTGTGGGATTTGAGACCAAAATGCTGTGCTTTGTATAGAGGAGGAACATCTGGCAGTGCAGACGCCACCACTCACTCTTACTGCTGGGACGTGGCAAGGCGCTCTGCCCAGCTGAGCCCATGATTTTATGAATCAAAGCATTTGGCAGCAAAACTCGAAGGTACCTGCGTGTCTGTGCTGCCTCTTGCCCACCTTCATC